CCACATGGCCAACCGTGGTTCGAGGCCCGGACCTAGCAGTTTGAAACTCAGGTCAGGTGCATGTGCGTGAGTGCCCAAAATCCCAAGAGGAGAATGAAGGAGAAGGGATTTTAGGGTGACCATCTCCCCTGAGGGGTGATTTCTCACTTTCTCTCTCACTGTATCTCTCTCTAGTGAGCGATATGAACCCTATAGCAAAAAAAAAAAAAAAAAAACATGTTCCCAGGGTAAAATGTTCCCAGGGTTGGCAGGTTGGTGACACTTTCCCCGGTGACACTCCCCCACCTCCCCGTGCCCACCCACTGTGCACCCAGAAGTCACCTTTCAACAACTCTGAGCTATGTGCTAGGCTTCGAAAGCCAGAGGCCATCAAGAGTCTGGTCAAACCATAACATTCTTCTTTAATCTCCAAAATGTTTTTATAAAATAAAAGTTGATAAAAACTTAACTTGGAAAAGAATGATGCTTTATTTGTTTTCTTTATTTTTTCTTCCTTTTTTTAAATTAAAAAAATTTTGGGGTGGGGGGAACCAGCAGTTAGCGTAATGGCTATGTTGCTGGACTCCATGTAGTCGACCACAGTTCGAGTCCCAGACCCGGTGGCTTAAAAGTCATACCGGGCGCGTGTGCGTGCGTGCCCAGGATCCCGAGAGGAGAACGGAGGAGAAGGGATTGCAGCATGGCCATCCCCCTGGGGGGGTGATTTCTCGCTTTCTGTCTCTCTGTCTCTGTCTGTCTGGCGAGCGCACATGCTCTATAGCAAAAAAAACAAAAAACACAAAAACTCCCCCCCATAAGAAAAAAACCTTTAAATATCTTTTTAAAAAAAGCCCTAATATTGGGCCCCACCCAGCTCTCCAGATGAGAATTGGTCCGTGTTTCATAAGTCCTCTGGGGGGTTCTGACACAGCTCCAGAGTGAGCCCTGAGACTGTCAACTGGGGGTGAAGCGTGGGCCTGGCCCTCCGCCACAGCAACAGTGCCAAGGACAGTCTGGCTCCAGGAGGCTTTGGCAGGTGATTGGTTGTTGAATGACTCACAAAGCACAGTGCTCATGTGAATGGCATGAAGGTCCCTGAAAACACTGGAGTAGTAGCCCCCCTAAACACCCAGAAGAAGATGGCCAGAGGCTGCATCTCCACCCCATGGTTCAAGTCCCAGACCTGGAAGCTTGCTTTCTCACTTTCCCTCTCTTGCTCTGTCCCTCTCTGGTCAAATGAAAAACCAACCAACCAACCAAACAAACAAACAAAAAACAAACAATAAAAACTAAAACCAGGCCAGGCTGACTGTGCCACCCGGATGAAGCCTGATAAGGGGAGGCCCACCTTCCCTGAAGAAACCCCCCTGCCCCTATCAGCTGCAGGGAGGTATCTCACCATGCCTGGAGAAGCTGGCCATTGAGGGGTGGATGCCCATAGTCAAAGAAATGCAAAACGTGTTTGAATAAATAAATGCACCCCTGGGTTAGGGCTCTCCCGGTAGAATCCCTTCTCCACCTAGCATTCTGCTGAGCAGCGTGACGGAAGCGATGTCAAGACAGCAAACACGCGCTACTGCGCTCTCTTCAGAACGGGACACTGGGGGCGCAGAGAGGCTAAGTGACTGGCCCAAGGTCACACAGCTGGAAAGTGGCAGCGGGGGTATAATTCCAGGCATAGGAGGGGTTGCTGCTGTACAACGGCGCTAAGTCCTGCGCCCGGGTTGAGCCAAAGCCCTAAGGGACAGATCCAGATTGGAACTTGCACGCACACGCAGACACATTCTTCCAGGACAAGAGCGCCTGATGGTGCAGAGTGCGGGTCCCGACCCGCTGCGGGGGTGCGCCTGCCAGGCGCACTGCGGGGGCCTTCCTAGCAGAGAGCCTGGAATCGGCAATGGGATGGACAGACTAGAATAGTGGGCAGTAGTCTAGGTTCCAGCCAACGTGGGAGACAGGGACAAGGGACAGGGAAGCCGTGACAGCCCTGCTGGGGGACCCCGGTGGGGGGAAAGCGCGCCCGCCAGGCCCCACCCCCTGGTCCGCGCTGCCCGGACCCCTCCCTGCCCGGCTACGTGCGCCCAGCCACGCCCTCGACCCCGCCCATCCTGCTCATTGCGCACGCGCACTCTGCCTTTGGCCCCGCCTCCCTCGGGTCCGGCTGCGCGCGCACCGCCCCCCGCTCCAATACGCACGGCCGGCC